TATACACAATATATACACAATATACAGCATATATAGAGTGAATGAGTGAATGTCCTCCAGTAAACAGTACATGTGCTGCTTGTTGTCTCTGCAGCGTCTCCACATCCAAACCTGGCTGGGAAACCGTGTCTGAAGCTGAAGATCTACGTCAAACCAACCAGTGAGTTTATTCCACAAAATTCTGTACATGCTGCGATGTTAAAGTAGTCTGACATTATAAAACTGAAGAAGGTCGGAGGTCAGAGGTCGCGCTGGATGACCTCCTCCACCAGGTGACCTTCTGTCTGTAGCCTCTGTAGCCAGTAAGGTTCGTCCTATTTCCTGGAGCAGTGAACAACGTTTGCGTTGCGTTAGCACATTATGGGATGGTAATGATTCTTGCAGGTATTAGTCAGAGCGTCAGGTGTTACCATGGAAACGGAGTTATGGTTTGTAAAAAAGTTAGCTCTCTGGATTTGCACCAAACATTAATCACAGCATTATTAAACTAAAAGCTTCAGGGCGCTTTGAACCTGCTGTACGACTAGATCAGGTGTCCACATGAAGCTGATTATTGATTATTGATCTGGTTGTTAGTGAGGAAAAGCGAGTCCTCAGGAGGAAGAATATGTCTTCATATGAAACTGTAAATGTCAGTTTGAAGAAGAGGACCTGTGAAGACTCCCAGCTGCCACAGTGAAGGTGTTAAACTTCATCCTCGCAGTCTCTGTGATTCAACACATTAAATCCTCCGTCGCACCGACCAATCAGCTTCCACTAACGAGACGTAGACGCTCCGCAGGAAGGACAGCGTTTACTGGATGTGGATGAGGATTATCTGCAGAGCTGTCAGACACTGAATGTGAATATTATTTTACAACTGAAACTCAATGTTATGTTCCCACAATCCCTCTGACACGTGCAGGGTTTAATAATCTGATCCTTTCACAATAAGAGTCCTTATTCACTCAAATAAAACAATAATTTAGCTGCAATATAATATTTATTGAAAGCTTCCATATGTTGAATGTGTTGAACTGTGGACAATCTGACAGAAGGTTAAACATTTATATCTGTGGAGATCTAAACCACTTAAAGCAGCGACCTCCTACATGGAGCCACAGCAGGCTTTAAAAGGAGACCGGCTTCTATTGTAAGTGTCACAGTAAATAATTGATTGTTAATAATAATAATAATAATAATAATAATTTATTATAACATTTATTTAACATCTGGAAGCAGCTCCTCAGTTCAGACATTAGTACAGTTCGGAATTATAAGTTCTTCGGCTCTATGGATCCGTTATCGATCGGAAACTCTCGCTGTGTGTCTGCAGCTGCTGAACGGGGAATGTAACTCTGGAGGGAAACGATGTTCTGCTGCTCTGGAGACCTCATCCTGTTACTTTTAACAACTACATCTCCCATGAGGCTTTGCCATAGACGCACTAACAAAGCCTCATGGGGAAATAAGCAGAGCGATTATGTTTTAATGAGCATTAAAGTCTCCTTCAGAGCTGATGTCATCATAAATAAATATACATATAATATATTAAATATATTTTATATATTATAAAATCATTTTCTTCTTCTTTGGTCTCATCCGGATGATGTCACTTCCTGTCTCTGTCTTTCAGATGACTCGGTGTACGAGTCGCCAGCGCCTTTCCTGACAGACGACACCACCGGCGGCTGCGGCCTCGCTCTGCCCCGCCTCTCCCTGCTGTCCGCCATGTTGCTCGCCCTCTTCCTCATCCTCCTCTTCGCCTCCTCATAGCACCCCCTCCTCTTCTCCTGTTCTTCTTCCGGTGGGGCCGAGCTCCGTCCTCCTCCCGTCGCTCTGAGGAGAAAACGACCGGCCAGAGGCAGAAAACAAATCCAGCTTCCTCTCTCTGACCTCTGACCTTCACCTGAACGACACTCAGCCAAATCAGAGGAGGTTGAGGTCGGCGGTGGGAGGAGCCTGCTGGTTGGAGGTTTGCTGGGACTCCATTGACTCCCACGTTAGTCTGATACATAAAATAATCATCTGCATTATTCATATTGAAATATTAATATAAAATCCATCTCATGCAGATTTTAATTCTGCTGCCAAAATAATAAAATTACAAAAACTACAAATACATTTTCTACAAAGCCTTTTTTTAAACTGGAAGAAATAAACCAAACTTAAAGGACCATTTCAGCAATTTAACGTTTACGCTACAAATCAGCAGAGACCCCAAAGTAACACGTTATTAATTATTATTATTCCTGGTTCCTTCCACAAACAGCCAATGAGATTGCTCCATTGCATTTTGGATTTTTGCATAAAATAATTTCTGTGGTGAACAAAGCTTTAGGATTAACAACCTTCACTTTATGATTTCTGAAGTGCAATCGGACGAGCTAACGTAGCTTTAAAGATAAATGGAACGAGCTGACGTAGCTTTAAACATTGGGATGGGACAAGTTAGAATAGTTTGAGAGCATAAACACAACGAAGCTTTAAAGACGGACAAGTGAGCAGATCAGTCTCTGTTTTAATGTCACTACAACCTCTGTAGTCTCCTTTAGCCGCTTGTTAGCAACCACCTTTTGTAAGACACGTAGAAGCTTCAACATTGACGGATTTATGTCATAGAAGAAAACTGGAAAATCTGGTAAGCTTGTGTGAACCACAGATCGTATTTCAGACATCCAACCAAAAAACCCTTTGACTTTGTTAGCTAAAATGCTAACTCGGTTCAGGGTTTTAGGACAACAATAAAGATAGAGTTAATGTTGTCTGTGATTATACAACACAAGCACGTTTCAACAGTCTGCTTGTTGAGTTAATTAAGTTAATTGAGTTAATTAACTCACTGGCTGCCTGTACTTTCAATATCTGGCTCAATATATTGTCTTATTCACAACATTAATCATTTGAATTATCTAAAATCTACAACAGGTTTTGAGACTTTAGGGGTTCAGAAATAAACATAATTTAGAGTTAAGCAGCTAAAACTTACAAACTCACTGATTTGGTCTTTTTGTGCGAGATCAATAATTAATATCAAATCAATAAAAACTCAATAATCAATCATTTAAATCAGGAAATATCTGAAAAGTATCAGACCAATCGATCAGGTAAAGACATCGAGCAATTGTAACATTTCCGCTCAATCAAACATCCTTCCAGGTTCTGAGTGAAGGGTTGAATATTGATCCCTGTGGAGTCAGTGGAGTCCGGCTGCAGTCTGAACTCATCGGGCTGATTGTGATCTGGACTCCATCAGGATCTGGTCTGAGAGAAGACCAGCAGAAACAGACTCTCTGTTTGTCCTGGAAACATTCATTTCACCTCCAGACCTCCTGATGGTTACAGTCACAGAACTGAGAGATCCAGGATCCATATCTGAGCAGATTGTCTTATATTTTTATTACATATATTATTTTTGTGTAACTTTGACAAAAGCAACTTTAGGGTTATTTTCATTATCAATCAATATATCCATTGATTATAAACTATTAATCATTTTGCCAACAGCTGTACAAAATAAGTGAAGTGAGTCTTTTAAAAAGAGTAACTAAACTCTCGTACAGCTTCTTAAACTAATTAATTATTAATTATTGATTATTAATTATTACATTCTTAGTAGAAGTTCAGCTGTGATTTGAAAACGACTCAAATCATAATTTTAAAATAAAACAGGATGAATTGTTGATGGCTCATTTCTGTGACTGTAATCATCATCATCATCTGCATCTTCATCTTTAATATAAAAATAAACTCTCTCTCTCTCTCTCATTCGTTCCCTTTGTCTCTCGCCCACCTGAAACCCTCGTTTCTGTAAATCTGCCAAAGACTAAACTTTTCTATCAGTCATACAGCAGCTACAGGTGATCCTCTAGGCCCCGCCCACGTCTGCTACAAGAGGGCGGGGTTACGCGAAGGGGAGGAGTCACAACATTTTTTTTCTAAATTGTGTTTTGTTGTAAAAATAAAACGAATGTTAATGCGCAAAACAAAAACAATCAAAAATGGCCTTTTTCCCTCTGGTGCTGAATTTTAGAGACTGATTGTTTTCTGGGGAAACAGTGACACCGTGTGGTCGAGAAGACATTTTTTTTCTCTTCATCTCTTCATACCATCCGTCCGTCGACACTGACGGACGGGGGCGCGTGTCCTTGTGTGTGGACGAGCAGGGGCATGCTGGGAAATGCAGTATAAAAGGAAGGCACTGTGACGATGTAGCACTTGGACTCTTTCAGAGAGCAACGGTTGTTTTTACATTTGTGTTTAAAAAATGAGAGAAATTCATATAAGATATGAAGGAATCAGTCAGATGTTTGTTGTTGCTGTTGTTGTTGTTGTTGTTTTTCTCCTTTATGTTCCTGCTTGCAACACAATGCATTCTGGTCCCTGTAGTCCAGTGCTTTCTGGTTCTGTTGATGAGTTCGGTGGGTTCTTCATCCTTTTTCTTCATTGGTTTTCGTGTGGGTAGAATCTGTTGTTCGTGGCGTAAGAAAAAAGCTAAAGGAAGAAAAAAGTTGTGGTTTTGTTGACGGGAGTGAGACCTCTCTCCGTCTCGCTGTCCCTGAGAGGAAAATGTTTTTTACATCCGTCTGCATATTCTCTCCTCTGAAAGACAAAACAATCAGTTTTTGTATATTTTCTTATTGGATGCTTATTATAAAGTTAAAGAATGCATTTATCTGATTGGCTGAAGAGCTAACGAGGGGTCAGAGGTCGTCGGGCCTCTTCAGGACATTTCTTTCTGCGCTGCATGAGCAGAAAAAATAAAAATACATTTATTGGATTTACTTTGAAGACAAACTGAGAGAAAATGTTACAAACTGTTTAAATCTGTGTTTGATAAATTCACCAATAAAAAATGTTCCACTAAAAATTATTTTTGTGTTTCTTTACTCACATACGTATATATATGTGTGTATACGTGTGTGTGTTTGTGTTTGTGTTTGAAGCATTGACAGTTTATATAAGTGTGTTAAACCTGCACTCTCTCTAACAGCCAGCAGGGGGCAGCTCCACTCTGATAGTATTGAGTCTTATGGAGAAGTTGATTAATGAGCTCAGTAAACAGTTTCCT